TCTTTGCTTGCAACTGGCAAATTCCAGCCAACGCAGCTGGTAGAAGGGCTGCCTTGAGGCGGGCTGAAGTCCCGAGTTGTTCTCTCCCAGGAGAAAAGCTGTTTAGGTGGGACAAGTTCTCAGTATGTTACGGGAATCTCGGATACTGAGGCAGCCACAAGACTAATTTGGCACTAAGAGCCTTAATTTGTGTGTAACGCTCGGGTACCGCAGCCACAATGCGCTGTCACTTGCTTAAATCCCTCTCCAGTTTCAGAGGCTCCCATCTCCTTGTGCACTCCAGTCCTCCGTGCTCTCCAGCAGTCGCTTTTGTCCAACTGGTGAGTTCTCACTCGAGCTGGACTTGCCTGAGAGACTCTGCACGCCCGTCATGGCCACACTGCATGCGCTGGGCCACTGGCCTGCCTCACTCGCCAGCCAAGGCTCTGCGAGCGCTTCACACCTCCGCCCACCTGTGCCAGGAGCTCCGCGATGAACCTCCGCCCCGCCAGAGTGCTGCAAACCAGGGCACCAAGCCGGCTAAAGCTCCAGCAAAACCAGTTGCAGAGACTCCCGTGGGAAACAAGTCTTTACGCCAAAAAATGGTGGATGAACTGAGACACTATTACAATGGGTTCCACTTGCTCTGGATTGACACCACGGTGGCTGCCAGGATGGTGTGGAGGCTGGTACACGGGCAGGTCCTCAGTCGGAGGGAGAGGCGGAGGGTAAGTGCCAGACTGCCTTGCTGGAATGATGCATGAAGAGGCTTGCTCTAACCACTCAGCTTCCACACCTCTTTGGAACACGTGTTTTTTTTGTCTGGTTGAATAATAATTTCTTCTGTGCTCTTCTCCGTACAGTTGCTGAGAACTTGTGCGGATCTCTTCCGGCTGGTTCCTTTCCTGGTGTTTGTCATTGTCCCCTTCATGGAGTTTCTGTTACCTGTGTTCTTGAAACTCTTTCCTGAAATGCTGCCCTCGACGTTTGAGACTGAGTCCAAAAAGGTTTGTGTCCTTTCTGAAGATGCAGACTGTGTGCTCCAGCTCAGTAGAACATCTGTCCAGCTGTGTAAGGAGCTGTTGTTTCCTGCCTGCTGCTGGAAGTGAGTGTCGGCCTCGCACACGTGTCTAGGTCAGACGTTCCTAGCTTATTTTGAGGCAGGACAGCAGAATCTGGAGACTGTGCTGTGCACAGTGATCAATAGGAAAGCACACAACAATTTCCTTTTCTACTGTAACTTTCAGTACCAAAGTCTTATTTCATCTCTTTCCCAGAATCCCCTCTCTGCTGATACTTAAGTGGGATTTCTAATTATGTTTTGTTTCCTAAATGAAGGAAGAAAAGCAGAAAAAGAAATTAAATGCAAAGCTGGAGTTAGCAAAGTTCCTGCGGGAGACCATTGCAGAGATGGCCAAAAGGAACAAAGCAGACACGGGACAAGGGAAACAATTCTCTTCCTACGTGCACCAGGTACGGGCCGTGCTGGGGATGGCAGCGGTGGTGCCGCCGTTCTGGGCAGAGTGTGGCTTTTGTACAAAGGCTGCGGAGAGGTTTGACAGCAGCAAGCTGTCCTGTCAGGAGTTACTGTTGCCTGGATCCATCTTGGAACAACAGTGAAAGTTTTACCCTGTGAAATCCTTCAAGCTGCCGCTGGAAAACAGTTTCACTTTGGCCTTTGAACTGTATCGTTCTGTTTCCATTGAGGGGCAGGAATGAAAAAAGCTTCTCCTTAGAGGGGAGAAGAAGATTCACAAAGGGTGGTTCTGTTTCCGTTAGGCTTGTGGCCCTGATGCCTCTGCTCTGTTTAGATTCGTCACACGGGCCATCAGCCCAGTACCCAAGAGATCGTGCGCTTCTCCAAGCTGTTCGAGGATGAGCTGACCCTGGAGCACTTGGAACGGCCGCAGTTGGTCGCTCTCTGCAAACTGCTTGAGCTGCAGCCCATTGGCACCAACAATCTGCTCCGCTTTCAACTTCTGCTGAGACTCAGGACTATCAGGACAGACGATGAAGTGAGTTTCAAACAGCACAGCGGCGCTGCTCTGCTGGAAAGCAAATTGCGGAGATTTTCCGCAATCTCACGTTCCGCCCTCGGAATCACAGGCCGCCTGCTTCACACAGGCGTGTGGCGCTGCCCACACCCATCCTCAGCTGCGAACTTTAATGTGGATGGGAGTGGGATTCTCCCCATGAGAGATTCCAGAAAAAAAGCAGAATAGGAGTTCATCTTCCTGTGCTCTTGCTGCCTTTGGTGAACCCTAACGAGTGTGGCACTGCGAATACTGTCACTGGTTAGAACAGCCTTAGGTTTTTATTCTGGAGCCATACTAACTTGTGAAAAAGGGAGGTTCCAATTCTGGAGTAAATATTGTTTGGAAACACCAGATTTTAACCAACTGAATTCAGTATGAGTTTGTATTAGTTTATAAAGTGGCTGGATTTATTTAGCCTGGAGGAGGCCAAGGGAGAACCTGCTTGCTCTTTTCAGCTGCCTAATGGGGTTATTTAGAAAATGGAGCACAGGTGCATAGTGAAAGGACAACAGGTAGTTGCAGACCATAAGGTGCAGCAAGGGAAATTCCAACTTGATAAGAAAGAAAATAACAATCAGCAAGTGGGTAAACAGTGGAACAGGTTGTCTGGAGGTGGTGAAATCCCCATCCCTAGGGAAGCGTAAATGGAAAAGCCTGAGCAATGTAAAGAAACTTTGAAGTTGTCCCTCTTTTGAACAGAAGGTTGGACTAAGGACCTCCAGAAGTCCCTTCCAGCCTACGTTTCATGATTGCGTTGGAATTGTAATTTGAAATGCTGTTAAGAATCCTGTTACGACATAGAGGAAAGGCCGGAAGACTTCTTGCTAGTAAGAGGAAGGCATATGCAACTAACCACAGGTTTGGCTTGAAAGCCTGCAATCTTGACAGTTCTCAGGGTACCCGTCTTTGAGCGAATTCCTCAGACCTATAGGTTCATGTGTAGAAGTGAAGTTCTCAGTGCCTGGAGGAAAATCAGCTTTCAAGGACAGAATGAATTATCTACAAAGATAGTTCTGTCTCATCTTGGTGTTCATGTGACTCGATGCACATTTACCTAAACAGGCATTTCTTTGGGCTCAAGCTCATCGAGTACCTCAGAGTTTTGCCTTACTCTGTGCCCACATGGGAACATTCCTTTTCATTTCAGATGATTGCCAAGGAGGGAGTCAGTGGCCTAAGCGTGTCCGAACTGCAGAGCGCGTGCAGAGCCAGAGGAATGCGATCGCTGGGTCTGTCGGAGGAGCAGCTAAAGGAGCAGCTCAGACAGGCAAGTACGCTGTGCTCGGCTCTTCTTTGGCAAGGCTTCTCCTGGGACAGGGCAGTGTGCAGACAGACCAGGCACAGTTTCACTAAGAATTTGTGCAAGTGTTTTTAGATAGATCCTCACCTCCATAGCGGAGCTTTAAGGCATGAAATATGCAGATTATGTCTTAGACTAAAGAGAAAACCAAGCAGTATCACGACCAGCTAGACTAAGCAAGGTGAAGCAGAGGTGCAGAATATGTCTGAAGCTTTTGAAGTAGCCAAGACTTGTAGTAGAGCCAACACTAGCCATTTTTATAAGCATTCAGACAGGTTACAGATAGCTGCTGTAGGTTATTTCAGATAAGCTGTGGACAATTCAAAGTACTTGGCGTTCACTGTTGGCCATTTGTCAGTGGTGGTGTTGGTACCTCACTAGTAGCTGGGAACTTCCTCTCCAGTGTGGATTCCATATGGTATTCTTAACTCTTCAAAACTATTTCTTCTCATTGTGGTTACTTAAAACTGGAGGAGCTACACTCAAGACAGCTTTAAGATCTTTAAGGACCAAGAGTGCTATATAAATTAGTACTGACATGGAGCCGATACGAAATAACTTTTCCTTCTGTTTTGTTCTGACAGTGGCTGGATTTGCATTTAAAAGAGAATGTTCCACCTTCTCTGCTCCTGCTTTCCCGGGCCTTGTACCTAATAGATGTAAAGCCACAATCTGTTCCGGTTCCACAAAATAAGGTGAGTTGTTTGAATAAAACTTTCAGGTTAATTGTTTAACCATTACACATTATAAAAACGAAGCGCAGCGACATGGATCTTGTTCTTTGATCCTCCAAGTGGACTGAAGTTATAACTGTACTGAACTATATGTTCTTCCGTAGATAGGTGAAACTGCTGAAATCCTGACAGCTCTTCCTGAAGGTCGAGAGGCCCTAGTGGATCCTGCACCCTCTGTACAGGGAAGAAAGGTTAGAAAATAGCAGTTTACAAGTAGGAAGATGAGTGTGTATTGCTGTAACCTTTGGGAAGGGCATGTAAGCAAAGCTTTCCAAAGCCAGACAAAGCCAGTGTTTGACACCATTGCACAGCAGCAATGTCTGTTCTTGCATTGTGTACGTGTTTTTGCCCGAGAGCCTCACGGTTGCACACTCTGACTTGGGAGGTGATGAAAGGGTACAGAGATCTGCTGTGCTGTGGCACGTCTTGTTGCTGGGAACAGCTGGTTATTCAACACCCTCTTACTGGCTTCCAGCAGAGGAGCACTCACGATCTTCTAAGCTGCTTTATTCAGATAAATACAGAGACTTCAGTCCAGGTACGGTTAGCTCAGAGAGGCCAGTTAAAGGTGACTTGTTTTCAGCTCTTCTAGTGAACTTGGGCTGAGTTGTCCAGGACGAAAACAGCCAAAATATCTAGATTAAGAAAGCCAGAGCATGTGGTTCTCAGCATAAGGCTGAAGTGAATTCCTTAGATTAAACCACACTGATAAAAGTAGCAACAGAAATCAAAGGAGAAGATTGTGTGCACAGCTGGAATTGTGGCCAAATAGCTCTCTTAAATTGTGTAGGGGAAATGATGCAAATGCTGATGTACAGCTGTCACAAACATGCATTTTCTGAGGGGGTTCTGTGACTTAAAGCTGTTTTTTCCTTAAAGAATGAAGAATTTGTATCTCAGCCAACAGAGAAATTGCCGGTCTCAGAAGTGTCAGTTAAGGCTCCCCCACGAGAGGTAAGCTTTTCAAAATTCATAGACTTTCCAAAGGAGATTGTTCCTCACACAACTTGGAGCACGAATTTCCACAGTTTGACTGTAAGATGTTGTGAATGTTAAGTTCAAGGAGTGACTGAAGAAATGATGGATGAAAACTGCGTTGTTACTTACAAAAATTCCACGTGACTGAGAGCCTGCAGTCAGACTGGGGAAGGTCGTGGAGCACTGTGGGGAGTTACAAACGTCCTTTCTTTGTGCTCTCCTTGATAATCTGCCTCAGACCACCAGGGTAGACCAGCCTTCAGTCAGAACCACCATGGTGTTAAGTGCCATTTTGTATCTGTAGAATTATTTCTATGGTGACTTCCCTTTTCTGTTGCCCATTTTCTTTCTGTGAATATTTGATTTATTATGTATACATCTCAATCCCCACTTAAGGCAAGTCTGGGAGTCTGGACTGACTTTTACCCACAGGGGAATGCGCCTTTACCCTGAAGAACTTTGATCTTAGTCAACTGTTATTCTCCAGAGCAGCTTCCTATAGGAAATGGGAATATACCTTCTTCAAAAAAGGTTTTGAATTTTAAGAAGCATTTGTATTGGTACTGCCTAAAATCTGCAGCTTTCTCCTACGCTTAGGCTAAACTGGGAGCATCTCAGAGCAGCAAGGCTGGTGCCAATGGAGCCTAGCCTGGAGCCAGCAAGGACTGTCTAACCGTGGGAGAGAAGAGCTTTCGTCTCTGCACCTCTTTAAAAGGGAAGAGTGATTTTCCAGGAGGCTGCTTTGCACACCAAGGTGTCTGTAGCCCTCAGGGCCCTCTCCGTCTGTTCCAAGCTTGTTAGCAACTTGGCCATGCTAGGGCTGCCTGCGTGGCACCGGCCTCTCCTTCCTGCTGGATCCCCATCCCCACTGTTGTAGCTTATGTCGTGCATATGTTAGTAGCTATGCTACTGCCCATGTTGTTACCAAGCAGGTGTTTGTGCTCCTAAACCTTAGGAAAGGCGATTTTTCGTTGTCATAAAGGCTGGGGCGCAGAATGAGCTAGGCTGGAAGTCCAGTAAAGCCTGTTCTGCACTGAAATCCTCTGCAGGAACATACCCACATATCCAGGGCTTGCAGCTTGCCCTGCTGCCACAGCTTTACAAGCTCAAGCTCTCGATCCTAGTGATCCCAGTAACCAGAATGGCCCGTGTAGCCGTTGTGCTGAACTGTCACGTTTGTACCGAGGAGATTATTCTCCTGCTCGCAGCAGTGGGACGAGCAGCACTCCTCAGCGGCGTGGTTGGACTTAACTGTTCAGAAAGGCTTAAGAACTTGCTGGGCAAGAGCAGAGCAGCGAAGAGGACAGCTTCCACTGCGCGAGCGTTTCCACTCATCGGATGCTGTTTCAGAAGGCAGAGGCTTGCACTTTTAGGATCCCACTGGATCATGTGAGGTAGCAACCTGGGACCCACACGTATTTCCTAATTCCGATGTAGGACTTGGTTAAACCTTACCAGGCTCAGAAGAAGTCAGCAAGTGCTCTCAGACTTACTGTGCTGTACGAAATGATTCTTCACACACTCCAGTGTTGACTGTTTTTTTGGTAGACTTGATAGGAGGATACTGAAAAGCTGGTTTTAGCAGTTGTTAATTTTTTTTACTTTGTCCTATGTAAATGTTCAGAACTTACATTATGGATTTTAAATATGTATATTTATACTTACTGTAAAATTAAAGTTAGACTTGGTGCTAAGCAGAATGAAATGGCTTTTCTAGAGGTCAGACAGCCTTTGGAGCAGTCTGACTCAGAAAGGCAGTCGTCTCAAGGTCGGGTGTTATCAGCACTCGGGCTCTTACTAGCAACGCACAAACAACTGGCAGGAGACAGTTCCCGTGGTCCTGTGTGCTTAGTTCCGTCCCTGCCTTGCCAGTACAGCCAGTATGCAATGCTGGTATTTGTATTTAATGGTGGTTAATAAAGGAGAACAAATGTTATTTCAATAAAATAACCCCATCGCCCAAGTGTCACTCCTGCTCGTGTGCTGCATGGATGAGATGCTGCTGGTAGCCGTTAGCTCGCTGACTTAGAGCGGCCTTTGGCTACTTGTCTGTCTAGGAGAAGTCTTGTCTCTGTGATGACGCTGCCAGTTGCTGTTCCTTGAGCAGACCTGTGTCCTAACACTTCGTCTGGGAAAGCGTTTCACCTCCTCAGGAGCCGAGTACAAACGCTGTTCTGGTCTCGCTGGTGTCGAGCGCCGAGATTAGCGTGCGGGAGTGAAGGAATGCCGAGCGGCCTTTGGCTACTTGTCTGTCTAGGAGAAGTCTTGTCTCTGTGATGACGCTGCCAGTTGCTGTTCCTTGAGCAGACCTGTGTCCTAACACTTCGTCTGGGAAAGCGTTTCACCTCCTCAGGAGCCGAGTACAAACGCTGTTCTGGTCTCGCTGGTGTCGAGCGCCGAGATTAGCGTGCGGGAGTGAAGGAATGCCAGTAATTCCTGTGTGATGGCTGAGGCATGTCAATAGCGGGGCGGAATTCCTCAATTCAAGGTAAGTGGGAAGAGCTGTGCAAGGGAAAAGCCTCCCTGTTTTAAAGCACACGAACGGCTCACAGAGCCAGCCCAGTTCACTAATTGTATCGAAGCAAGAGTGTTGCAGAGAGGAGGAAAGCCTGATAAGGTGAGCAAGCTCGGTGTAACTGTGCCTGGGGTTCCTTGGAGTGCAGAGGAAGGAAGTGGCAGTGGAATAAGCTTGAGTGAGTTGTTGCTGTGGGGACTGAGACGACTCCAGCCAAGCCGTGCGTTGCGGAGCTTCGTTACTGAAGGTGCCGTGTCGGTTCCGCAGCCGGAGTGAGTTGCGTGTGATTTCACGGTGCTACACACGCAGCTTTGAGAGAAGCAGAAAAGTGGGTACCACTAACGAGAGGGTCCCTGCTGCAGAGCCAGGGCTGGAGCCCCCCAAGTAGTTTGGAAACAGCGTAGATAACTGCAGCTGGAGAGCCCTCTGGGTCGGACAGACCGCTTAGCTAATGCTAATGGCTCGGAGGGAATCGATCCCTGTTCCCGCACCAGCGGATACAACCATCAATCCCATCGCTATCGGCGGCTTTTCCAGCTCTGCCGCGCTGCTCCTCACGCGTGGGGAGGGCTCGGCCCCGGCCGGCGCCGCCGCCCGCCGGTAGATAGCAGCACCGGCCGCCTCTTGCACCGAACAGCCCCCT